CCTCCTCTGGACCCTCTCCATGTTGTCCACATCCCTCTTAAAGTGCGGTGCCCAGAACTGGACGCAGTACTCCAGCTGCGGCCTGACCAGTGCCGCATAGAGGGGGAGGATCACCTCCTTGGAACTGCTCGAGATGCATCTGTGGATGCACGACAAGGTGCAGTTGGCCTTCCTAGCCACCTCCCCACATTGCCGACTCATGTTCATCTTAGAGTCAATAATGACTCCCAGATCCTTTTCCACCTCCGTGCTGACAAGAGGGGAGTTCCCCAGCCTGTATGTGTGGTGCCAGTTGTTCCTCCCCAGCTGCATCACCTTACACTTGTCTGTGTTAAACCCCATCCTGTTCTCCTCCGCCCATCCTTGTAACCTATATATAGCTATGAGAGAAATTATTTCAATATATGCAATGAGAGTACTTTTTTTCTTTCCCTCTATTCTAAAATTGCTAAAATTAATTAAGCTTGAAGCATAATTAAACCCACATTTATGGATGAACTCAGAACTGTTTTTATCTTTCTACTGTTAAGTTTCAATTTAAGGAGAATGTTTGCAATAGAAATTATTTTTCAAAGCTTGATGAAGTTGTAATTAGTGATACTGCCATTTTAATGATGCTTGTTTTTCATAACTACCGTTACTATTTATTCTAAAGTTGTTATTTAAGTTGTTTGCCTGTCATTCTGCTTCAGTTGAGTAAATTTATTTCTTAAGTTGTATGATTAGTGCCTTTTGGAAAAAAAACAAACCTAAAATTTGTTTTAAGCTAGTATTTGGTAATCAGTCATGCATGCTGTATTAGGCTGAGTTATACTCTTTTGGAAAGTTAGAAAATATAGATATATTTTAAAGTGTGATTTTTTTTTTTTATTTATTTATTTATTTTTTAAGCCTGTGCACAGATGTTTACATATGTTATATTGTTTTAAGTGCAAGAAACAAGCATTTGCTTAGCACCTTAAATTGACTCTTTTATTTGCATTTCCATATGTATTTGTATTCATGTGCATATAGATCTTCATAATAATTTTTTTCTTAA